GGGGCCCCAGGATTCCAGATGTTATAAAAAAGAAAAAAATGAAAATAAAAACTGAGTACCAGCCTTTGTCTCTCTCTGTTTGCTGACTATGGGTACAATGTGAGCCGCTGCCCCACGCTCCTGCTGCCATGATGGACCATATCCTGGAGCTATGCAGGGTCAGCAACACTTCCTTCCCTTAGGTTCTTCTGGGGAGGGCATTTTGTCACAGTGGTAAGAAAAGTACCTAACATCCCACAGTACTCTGACAGGTCACAGAACCTCATCTCTCAAGCCCCCTGGGCAGAGGAGGAAGCTGGAGGGGCTACCATGATATTAGGACTAAGGGAACCACTGTTCTGAGAGCGAAAGGCCTTCTGGACTTGGGGTCCCCATCCCCACTTTAGGGACACTGAATCTTCCACAATTGCAGAGATGTGGATGAAGATCCAAAGAACTGGAAACTGCGCTGAGAAACCCCAAGGATGCGGGCGGCGAGGACCCAGCAGGCTCCTGCCGCAGGGTGCAGGCTCTCTACATACACCTCCTTGGGGTTCTTTGGTGAAGTCTAGATCCTCTCAAAATATCAGAACCATGGATCTAGTATCAAGCCCAGGGCTTCCAAGAGAAGGCAGAAGCCGTGTTTTGCAGGGCTTTGCAAAACCTCTCCCAAGCGAGGGCACCCCAGGCAAAGCTGAGATTGGCCTGTGGGTCTGACAAGATGGGGGTCTTCACCGAGGCCAGATTTTAACAGCACAGCCACTTTGGGTATGGCAGGCTCATAGGATGGGACGCTGAGCCTAATTACCTGCAGCTGGCTTGCATGAGGAATGAAGAGAAGATTCCCCAAAACAGAAGCCAGTTAAGTATACACAGTACTCTCACGTTTGGAGTCTGAGACTTGTGCGCAGGCTTGTTTTTGTTTGTCCCCACTGACCGCATTCCAAATTCAATTGTGGAAGTGTGACGAGCTAAGGTGTCCTTACGCCTATTCACCCATATGCATACGTGTGTGGGGCATGTTCCCGCCCATCTCTGACTCTCAGCATGGGCATCAGGCCCTGGCTGGGAGTGCACGGGAGGGGAGGAGGCTTAGGGCTGTGTATCTGCACTCAAATATAGAGATTAAAAAATGCTAAAGAGGAAGAAGAAAGGAGAGTACACAGCTGCCGTCCCCCAAACAGACCTCCCATCTGCCACCCACGATTTGCATGTCACCTTCTCCGGGCTCATTTGTACTTCATTAACTGCCATTGACTTAACAAGATTTATGCAAATGACACCATAGGAGCTCCCTAACTCCCACTGCAATCAAGTGATTATGTATGTACAACTTGCCACCGCGATGAAAAATTAATACGTGACAAGCCCACTGGCCGCTGAGCTGGGCCACTGGCTTTTATTTTTCTTGCTTTGCTTTTTCATTTCTACTCGAGTAGACCTTTATCCTATTAGTAAGAAAAGAAACAGGACTCTACAAATCTATCCACTCTGGGTACCCAGACAAGACAGAAGAGTTGGGTCCAGATCCTGAAGAAATGAAGTTATAGCCTAGAAAACAATTCCTTACTCTTGAGGAACCTGTGACAGGGGAAGAGAGAAATGAGTCACTGGTAATGGTCACTTGGCCAGACGACCCATGCACATGGGCACCCTGTGCAACCGCGAGGGAGGCTGCAGGGCATGCAGACTGCCCCACTCAATTCCTAAGCACTTGCAAAGTTCCTGTGCAGGGGCAGAAGATTGTGATGACCAGAACCCCGGGCGTTCAAGGACAGGAACTGGAGTGACTCCTCTCCGCCTTGAGGCCAACGGTCCAGCAGCTGGGCGGAGCTCTGACAAGTCTCAACCAGGACTCACTGAAGACCAGGGACTCTGTTGCTTGTGAGTGGGACCGAGGGGGCAGTTGCATACAAGGCAGTGCTTTCTCCTGAGCACAGATGCACATTCCTGCAGCATCCCCAGAGAAACATACTGCTACAGGCATAGCCTTAGCCGTTTCTTCTACACAGCACAAGATTATCTGTGTGTGAGGTGAGAGTTCCCATGTTTCATTTAACACCATAACTTGGGGCTGAAGAGATGGCTTACTGGTTAAGATCACTCAAGGCTTTTACAAAGGACCCAAGTTTGGTTTCTAGCCCACGCCACCTGTAACTCCAGTTCCAGGGGATCCAACACCACCTTCTGGCCTCTTCGAGTACCTGCATACATATGGTGCACATAAAATTAACACACACACACACACACACACACACACACACACACACACACACACGCAACAATCTTTAAAACTGTAACTTTGCTTTGGAGGCTTCTTGTCACCATGGAGTGGAAAGAACACAGACGTGAGGCTCCCGGCTTCCCAGCTACTAGTCCTGAATGTTCAGCCTGTTTAACTTACGAACAAAATGACCCAAGGGTTCCAGTCTACAATGCCAGGGCTGTTAAGTGGGATTCTGCACAGAGATACACATAGATAACAAGTTCTCATTTAGACATTCATTTATTTAAGAAATCCACCCATGCACTTTCTAGAATATTCTAAAGCAGGAACTGCCCTTTCAGGCTCTGTCCTGTCAACCCTCTTGCTTCCACACAGAGGTCACCACAGCAGGGTGAGGGCAGTGAGGGGTGCAGCCAGTCTCAAATGGTCCATGTGCCGTGAAAATGTGAGCACACACAGCATGCAGTGTCAGATCACTGGAACTACCAGGGCCACCTACAGTCTCCACCTTATTCCAGGGAATGTGCAGGAAGGCTCTGACGCGGGTACCTGGAACATCACAGGTGGAAAACTGCAGTCTGCAGAATGGAAATACTTCCTGCAGAATGTCTGGGTGTGAGAGTTCTTCTCTTCTGGGTCTACACTTTGCACTTGAAGGGTCTGAGGCCTGAGCATCCACTACAGTGGGACCATGTGACGCTGGGAGCAGATCCTGGTGGGAGTTAGTCCATGGCTCCTCACTGTGGGCACTGAATGGGTGACAGGAGTCACGAGGAAACCATGACTTAAGATTTCAAGGAGAATATAATTAATGTTCAAGAACGAAAAGCTTCCCAAGGAATGCAGAGCCTTCATTTTACACTAGATGGTCACCTTCGGTCTCTGCAAACCGGAAGTCCAGTTTGAGAAGCTGGCCCTATCCAAAGATGAGCAGGGAACAAATCAAGTGAGCTTCCATTGATGCCAGGGCCTGGCTGGCTCACCCGGAAGTTTCTTGCTGAGAAAGTGAATGCCCCCCTCAAACCACACCCCCGCTTTGCCCACCACCCCAAGCCGGTTGTGGACAGGAATGAGGAAGATGTCTACTGAGTGGTAATCTTCAGTGTTCCAGCACCAATTTCTCAAGTGCATAACAGCTCAATAACATTTATAACGCTACATGAAATGACACTGCACAGAAATCATGCATTAAAACGGCTTTATGTAGAGTTAGATTACAATTAAATAAGCAACATGAGTGAACAACTATGTACCTGGCCCTCAGAAGTAATAAACCTGTTTACAAGGAAAACACAGCCCATCACCGGGAAGGCTTCTTGCCTTGTATGTAAACACATGGAAGGTGAAATGTTTTCTTCGGCATGCTGCAAGCTGGCCCCCAAATCTGTCACCCAGTACAGTAAGGGTGGCCCTACACAGAGGCACAGTAGCCTCGGCTAAGGCCTGTGGGTCACCCTGCCCTGGGTCAAAGGCTCACACTGCCCTGTGCAGAGGGCATACGTATGTGGCGCGCAGGCCACTCTGGTCTGCAGCTGGAGGGTCGGTCTGCAGCAGTCTTGGTTTCTCAGAGATACCCACACTCTTTAACTCCCACATCTCCAATCTGAAATGGTCTGACTTCTCACAAGGGCTGCAGCCGTTAGCTGCAAACCGCTGAGGTGAGCCTGCTCTAACTTCTGGAACACTCTTCCCCTCCCTCAGAGACTGTGCGCGCACAGGCCAAGTGAAGCTGGGGTATAGCTATGGAAAGGGTGACAGATGCCCTAGATCATCCAGAGCTAAGAATGGGCTACCAGTGCCATCCATGGAAGGCAGAGCTATTTCCTGCCCGCACATTTCCTGCTCTCACCCCAACAGGAAACACACACACACACACACACACACACACACTCTCTCTCTCTCTCTCTCTCTCTCTCTCTCTCTCTCTCTCTCTCTCTCTTTCTCTCTCTCTCTCTCTCTAAATCAATTGGCTTTCTTTATCAACCAAAAAAGATGACATTTCAGAGCTGCTGAGCAGGCCTGAACTCTATTCTTATTGTTTCTGAAATGAAGCAGCAAAAGACGTCACACGTGAATTCCAGTGTGCCTTGCTAGGGACGTGAAGCAATTTAGGACCCAGTTTCCGGGCTAATGAAAACCCATTTCAGGCTAGCAACATTGGCCAAAACAAATGCTTGAATTCAAGTCCTGTTGTGTAATGGGGAAGTTTAATTAAGGCCCCACATTACAGCTGTAAATGTTCCTGTGTATAATAAGGTCTAAATGAAACTGAACCTAATCAAAGTTACAATCCCTTCATTAGCAAATTACAAACAAGAGCACACAGCTGACACGCCAGCTATGATTATTACAACTAATTGCCTCGTTGTTACAGACCAGCCTGAAACAGTGTTCAGATGTCCGTCTGCAAGAGCAAATTAGGGCCACGTCAGGCTATTCCTGTGATCACAAGGGGTTCTTCTACAGCGATCTGATTTACCCCTGTCGCCTGGCGGCCAGCGGCCCAATCAAAGCCATGCTACAAAGGCAGCCTTTGAAGCCAGTGCAGCATGGAAACACACTCCATATGCAGGCGGGCAGACCGCACTTCATTAGAGCTGTTGTTGCATTTCCCTCTTCTTATTCTAATGATCCCATTTTAATACACACAGGAACCCCTTCTAATTGATGTCAAGTGAGTGACTTCTACATTCATCAACAGAGCACATCAAACAAACCCTGGTGCCCAAGCCAGCACCATCTCGGGCTGCACCGAGGTGTGTCTCCAGCGAGGCGGGGAAGGGGACAAGTGTACCTGCTTAATTGGGATGGCTCGCCCGCTCCCGATGCTGTCCGCACGGCTCTCCAGGCCTTTCTTCTCTTTGTCTGGGTCGCTCCCTTTCCTAGACTGCAAGCAAAAGTAAAGTTAGCATTTGGGCGACGGTTGTGGCTGCCAGGCGGGTCTCGCCCCTATGTCCACAGCTCTTGCCAAGAGGATTCAGAACTGACGCCCCCAGCCGTTCGTCTGCACTGACTCATCATTCCAAAAGAATTTTCTAAACTTTCCCCCTGACTTTTCTACTGCGAAATTATCTTTTAATTCTTTTTTTTTTTTTTTTCTTTCAAAGAGTTCAAAATCCAATTACTAGAAACCAACGGACCATTCAGGAAAGCAACACCCAACGAGAAAACACATTCTAGAGCCTCGGTTAGGTTAACACAGCTGAGGAGAGAAGGGCCCTCAAAGGTTATCCGGAAGCCCAACTATAGAAATGTATGGATCAAATTCATGTCTAGATGATTTAAAGAGTCTATTAACCACTCAGCAGTGTGACTTCCTGGGACACCCCCGGAGAGTTGTTTCAAGGGGCAAGCAATGTTTCCTCTTACTGCTTCTGGATGGTTTTAGAAAACAGCAATTCAAAGTTAAAGCAGTCTACTGTGCAACAAAAAGATAACGGAGGCAAGAACTGAAAATCTCTTTTTGACAAAATGTCAATATTCGGGGAGCAATAAACAACTGTTTGCTTGCCAGGTTCTCGAGCCAATTATCTTGGACGGATTTGTTGATGCTATGTGAACTGCCCAGTAGCCGGCAGGTGTGGGAGGAGGGCACTTGGGGAAAGCTGTGGGAGTGCCAGCCTCCGTCCATGTCCTGTCTCCTGCTGGCATGAGCAAGTGTAAGCACGGTGATTGTCTGACAGATTTATTTTATTATGAGAGAAAGATCTGAGACTCGTCCTCCTTAATAACAGTGCTGACAAGTGACAACTTCACTCCATTACTTTTCAATGGGAACATTACTCACGCAATATTGAAAATGGAGAAACATTTTCCTGTGCTTTTCAAATCTGAGATGATATATGAAATGAAGAGACTCGGTAGTGTCCGGTGCTGCTGGGAGCAGCTAATGAAATTCAGATTCTAAAGGATGTGGGGCGAGCGGACGATGCTTCTACAACAGAATGCAAAGGGCAAGGCCCTGGGATGTAATAAAAGCAAGGGCTGATGGGTCAGACTTAAGATTCCAGGACAGGCTACTGCCAGGGACACAGAGGAAAGCACCTGTGACAGTGGTGGCTGTGCCACGCGGCAGTGCATGTGAGAGGGCACACTCTAAGCTGATTACAGGGGCTTTCACGCTGATCAAATGCCTCCTGGGCCCCCCACGCTGAGTGCCATCATCACGGACCTCAGCAGTGCTATAGAAACTCCTTCGGTCTTTACTCTTCACAGCAAGACTTGACGTCAGTTGGTGGGAAGGTGGGCACATGAGGTTTCCAACTGGAAAATGAAGATCCTAAGCTCCTAGCCGACAACATTTCAGAAATTCTGAACCAATGGAGAGCAGTAAGGGCATTTGGGGAATTTTAGCAGTTCAAATACCTAAATTTGAAAATCCATCTTCATTATTCTCCATTAAGCAGAATAATTAACAAAACAAACACTTTTTTAAAAAAAAAAAAAAATGAACATTTTCCTTGAGGCAGCGCATCTGTCCTCGGTTGCTGTTCTCAGAGCAGGATTCTGGATTCCACGGAATCAGGAAGCCACAGCCAGAGTCGCGGTACATAGCACCAAATATGTAAAGAGATAGGAGCCCTGCTCGGCACAATCACAGGCTCAGAAAACAATCACAGAAACTCAGGAAACACATTGGAAAAAAGGAAATCTGTCAATGACGGTGCCATTTTTGTGGAAAATGTCATAAAACCAAAGGAAGATTTTTGTGGAATATGTCATAAAACCAAAGGAAGGAACTCCAACAAGCTAAGCTGTTGCGCTGCGGGTTTGCCTTCCTCAACCGGCTGACTCACGGAGACTGAGATCCAACAACTAAAGCACTTCACTAGATAAGAAACCCTACGCCTCTGAATCCCAAGGGAAGACTCCTTGCTCTCCTGCCCACTTCGGAGAGACTCCAGTGCTATGTTTGTTTCCTCCCCTCTCTGCCAAAACTGCTCATTAGATGCTGCTGGCAGCCCTTGGTACCCATTGCTATATCCAGCCTGCCACATTCTTCAGAACCAGGGTTGATCCCACCCATTGCACATCTGGAGACTTCAAGCCACCAGAATGACTGCTGAGCCCCAGACACTGAAGTCAGAGGGAAGGGAACTATTCTACTTCATTTCAAAAATGTTTAACTCCCTATATGTAATAAACAAAGTTCCTTGTACACTGGCCAGAGAATCGTGACTGGCAATGCTGCCCATCAAACAGCCTGCTTTCTCAGTTCCAACCAATAAGGCAGAAGCAGATGTTCTCCACAAGATACCAAGTGTCAATTCTTCTACAGTATTGTCCTTCTCTGAGTAGGTTCAGGTTCTGTGCTATCTTTGGGTACCTGTGTGCTTACCTGTTTAATAGTATCAGCATCACACAGCAAGCTTTTAAGACACCACGGAAAGACAATTCTTAAGAGCTTGAAAAGACATAAAGCAACGCCATATGGAACTTAAGGAGCCTTGCCAGGTTCACACCCACCAATGCAGGCCACACACAGATACCCAGTCAGGTAAGTGGCAAGCCCTGGAACAGAGGCAGGGGAATGGATGGGGAGGTGTGGGCTTTCACCAAGGATGTGTGTACTTCACGAAGCAGTAGCTGCAACCTGCTCAATCTCATGATTATCACAGAGAACACTTGTACTTTTTTTTATAACTCTTATATATTTAAAAGTATTATTCAATAAAATATTTCAACTACATGTCAATTGGGCTACTAAATGAACTGTTCTAAAAAAGATTCTGTATTTCTAAAGCAGGCACCAAATGGGCCCTCTTTTGATGTTTCATTTCTCAAGGCAATGGCCTTATATAAAACATGATACAATTTAAATTCCCATTGGCAAGGCATACATAATTGCCTCTGCAAAGTAATGCACAATACACTACAACTGGAGTGATTCAGTTTATATAATCTCATGTAAAATACATGGGATGTATTTGTTTAAAAGCTGTATGCTTGCAAATAAAACATCTGAGGGCTGAAAATGCTATCCCCGCGTGGCACACAGCCCCTTTAAGACATGTGAGGGAGGGATGAGAAATATGTTCACACAGATCACCTCCAGCCTCTTTAGAATGTGCTAATAGATAGGTGGGCAGTGCCCACCAGCGAGATGCACGTCTCCTCTGCTGCGGAACAGTAACTAAGATGGTTTGCATCTGGCACAGCTGTTGAGAGGTCTAAACACATACACACTTTGACAATGTTAGTCAAAAGTCACAGCGACAGAAATGAAGACTCTGCAAAACTGGACATAAGCAGGCTTTGAAAGCTGGATTCTTAATTGCTCAGTTTTCAGAATTAGTTCACTTTCTTTTCGTTCCTTGCATGACACTGACATCTAGTGGAGTCGATGTTTCCAAGTCCTTCAACTCTAAATGCTCACCGCCACCTCCACTGCCACTCTGCCCAATGGCAGAGCCAAACCTGGGAACAACCCACATGCTGGCCCTTTCGGGGGATTTCAGCTAGTTAAGAGCCACAATGCAGGACCCCAAATTTCTGTTCCATGAACATTAGCTGGGCAGCTGGATTAAACTTTAAATGTTTGACTCCCAAACTGTCTTCTGACATTACAAAGGAAGATACATTGTACACATGCAGCCAGAGGCATTCTGAGATGTCTATTACGTGCAATTCATTGAGATCGCCAGTCACTGTGTTCTCATCAGCGTGTATAAAACCTGCAGCTCTGTGGCTTCCTGACCTTGGTTTCTCTTTCAGTGTGGCCAGCTCTGGACATGAGCATACCTCCTAGACACTGAGCACAGCCAGGGCTCTGAAGAGCAGCTATTAGCCAAGTCCATTTCCCCCCCTTTTTCTTCAGGTCCTTAGCAGGTCATATGAGCTGTCAGTCATCCAGGCCCCAGGATCTTTTTGGACAGAGGGGACAGGATCTCCTTATACACAGTACTATTGAAAGCAGTATCTCCTGGTTTTCATATTTCTGTCAGATGGCAGAAACCAAAGTTAATGTGCATTGAATGATGCTAGGCAGGAGCCTCTGGCTGGGCCTCCACAGCCACTCCTAACAGTGCAGAGTGGGGGATACAGAAACTTCTCATCCACCATTACTGGACTAGTACATTCCTGAATCCCAACGCCTCTGGAGCTGACTTCGGCTATTGATGCTTTGGACCCATTGAGTCACAAGTGGATGAGTACCCTTTTCTCCAACAGTCCTGTTCTGGGTATTCAGCTAGAAATCTATTGTTCATGTGACTGTTCATGCTGTGTGTCTAAGACACTTTACAATGCACCATCTTACACCTGTGCACTACTGTAGCCTATCACACATTGGCCTGTACTATCAGACGGACACTTGCCCTGTACCATGGAAAAGCCAAAACAACCCCTCCACACCTACCAAACAGTCAGTCCACCAACTATTCTGCTGAGCATCACTGATGTTCATGTTCCTGACTACAACAGCAGTGGAAAACAGAACCCACAATTCACACCACTGAGACTCCTCTGCCCCTCTGGGAAGTGCTCCAACTGACAGCCCTACTGCAGAATAGCTAGAGCTCCCAGATCAGAGAGGTTCAGTGATTTGTCTAAGGTCAAACAGCGGCCAGCAGTGTCTGCCATCGGCAGACCTGAGCATGAATGATCTGACCATGGAGAAGGAAGCAGAAATGGTGGAAAAGAGTGAAGCACCCACAGATCTGGCCGAGTACCCATGGCATCAAGTGACCATCTTCAATTGAAGGCATCAGGTCAGACAATGAACTTCTAGCTGCTCCTGGGAGATCTCCTCTAGATCAAGATAGGACTACAAAACTTCTCCATGACTGACTCAGTCTGGCCCAACCAAAACCAGAGACCAATGATTTACAGAGTACAGACACTGCACAGAGCTGGACACAGAGAGATAGACTCAATTGCAAAGCCATCCATGATTGATAGGTGATGTCTGCTGGGCATAAGAGGCAGGGAACAGTATGTGTCCACCTCTTCTGCAGTTCAGAGAATATCTGTACCCATCAGCCCAAACAGCTTGCAAAAGTGCACATGCCTGGCCCCACCCTGGACTTGGGTTTCTAAAACAAAGCTCAGGTTGACAATCCAGGACACTCCCTGGAGAGCTCCGAGGAAAGATCAAGAGAAGCCTATGACAGGGAGTGCCTAGAAGTCCCAGAGAGAGGGGTGGGGGTTACAATATTAAAGAAAAGGCAAGTCCTAGCCCCACGCCCATCCCTGGGGTCAGTTCTCAGACCTCAACAGGTAAACAGGGCTGAGGCTAAAGCCTCTCTGTGACTGGTCAGGTGCAAATGGGAATCCTCCTAGACCATCACCATCCACCATCTCTCTGTATCTAACACAAGCCTCTCGTGAGACCACAGAAGTCCTGGGCGGGTAAAGGGTGTGCACAAACTCCTCAGGATTCACACTCGGTTCCCACCAGGCAATTCCCATGTGCTCAGGATCCAACGTCTCTTCTTCTCACGATTCCCTCAGACTCCCGTCATTGTGGTTCTCATTAAATGTAGCCTGGATTCTGCAAGCATCACTGGACCCTGGGACAGACATGCTGCTGCGAATAAGGTACCAGGTGAGACTGAGAGTTTGGTCCCGAGCAATGCCGCTCACCGTGAACAGGTTGGATCTGCGCTTGGACTGCTTCCGAACAGGCGTCGGCGTGTTGGCAGTGGGAGGGACATCGATCCGAAGCTCCTTCTGGCTGGTGCTTGGGGTCGAAGGGACTGAGGAAGAGTAGTCACTTAAGCTTCCACCTCCATTACTTGTCTGTAAAAATGGAAACAGCAAACAAACAAAATTATCAATGTTCTGTGAAACTAAACAGCATAAAAACCACCCAAGCAGGCTCACAGCAAGAAAAAAATACAAGTGACAAGGCAGAGGTATCTGGGAGGCAAGGTGTCAACTCCCCATACCTGGCCAGTTTTACTGGTACCAAGCGCTGCTGGAAGCAAGCGCTGCTCTGTCTGAGGAAAAGGACCTCAGAGGGATGCACAGCGGAGCCTGAAAACTTCTTTCTGCTTCCAGGGACAGAATCTCATTCCATAGCCTGAGATGACCTAAAGCTCACTATGTAGCCCATGCTGGACTTGAATTAAAGCAATCCACCTGTCTCAGCCTCTAGATTTCTGAGACGCTAGGTGTGAGTTACCACAGCAGCAAACTTTGAAAAAAAAAAAAAAAATTGGGGAAAAAATAATTATTCTTCCTCTGAAAAACAAAACCGAGGTTAAAAATGGCCCTTTGGGTGCTTCTCCATTCCTCCTGGGATGAAGAAGGAATGGTCTCTCAGAGCACCAAGCAACCACTCTTAAATGAGATATCACAAATCAGAGTACTATCCTAAAATGTTTTTACATCAGTCAAAACCTGAAGAACCCAATGGCGAAGGTGTTCAGGTATATGGCTAGACCATCCTAGGCGCGGATGGTATATGGCTTCTCCAGGAAAACGGAGCCCTTGCGAGAAAGTCTGCTCGCTATGCCATTAGGAAAAAGCAGCAATGGGACACTCACCCAAGGGGGACTGATCACAGAACAAGGACAGCAAGACATAGCTCCTTAATGAGGCCCTGGGTGGATCCCTGCAATCAGTACCTCGCTTCCAAGTTAATAATTTAGCAAGATGCTGTCAGGGAAGGCCTTCTACAGGGCCTAAAGGAGATGGCAGTTACAACCAACTTCCAGATCTAAGTGTAAGTGCATTCCTTAGCCAGTAAGACTAATTCACAACTGTTCACCTTACAAACCGACCAAGAGCAAAGCCAGTGATTTCAATCCACAGTGAGGACAGCGGCATACACCTGTTGTAGCCTGTTGTATATTGTGTGACGATATATTACTGTGATTGGTTTAATAAAGAGCTGAATGTGCAATAGATAAGCAGGAAGAGGTTAGGCAGGACTTGCAGGAACAGAAAGGACTCTGGGGGAGAAGAAAAGCGAAGACACCAGGAGACACAGACAGGAAATAGGAGGTAAAAGATGGAGGAGAAGTAATGCCACATAGCAGAATGTAGATTAATATAAATGGGCTAATTAAGTTAGAGCTAGTTAGGAACAAGTCTAAGCAATAGGCCAAACTTTCGTAATTAGTAAGAAGTCTTGGTGTCATTACTTGGAAGCTGGCTGGTGGGACAGAGAAAGACTTGTTACACAGGCCTGGCACCATCCAATGCCAGCATGCCTCATAAAGCAGGCAGTGTGCAAAAAGAACATTAAAGACTGACTCCCACAAAGCCTACCTGGCCACAGCAGCTTCTGAAGGAAATGGAAAGTCAATTATACACATGCTGTTATTTGTGAAGTTGGAAAAAGAAAAACAGATGCGAGCTTTGGCACTGGCTGTGAACACTCCCTGCCCAGAGTCCTCCTCGGCACTCGCTCGCTGCCTTGCCTCCCACACCACCTCCCATACCTGGCTGATGTGCACGGCTGACACCTGGGCAGAACACACAGAGGAGTGGCTTGGTGAGTTGGGTAAGGACTTGCAGGGGCCTATGGACAGCTGCTGCTTCTTCCTCGTGGCAACAATCTTCTGGGCAACTAGTGGACACAGAGACAAGAGACATCAATGTGAGGCTAGCGGCTGGACAATAGGGACCTCTGGTGATCCCTGGCTCCTGCCATTTCTATATCCATAGCAAGTTTCATTTGGATACCTGACCACCAGGATATACAGGACATTTCTCAGAGCTTCTGAATCCCATACCCAAGCTGACTACATGGCCCATAAGCAAGCCCTGGCCAATGGGATTGGGGCACAAGCAAGCCCCGGCCAATGGGAATAGAGTCCAAGCAAGCCCTAGCCAATGGGACTGGGGCACAGGCAAGCCCCGGCCAATGTGACCAGAGCAGAAAGCTCATGTTGCTCTCAGGACCTGCTCTTTGCCCCCCCCCTTTCAAATCTCTTTTGTTTAATCTCTCTGAAATGTACAGATATGACTTCGATGCCAGGAGCCATTCAGGACCTTTAGTGACACAGGGATGGAAGCCACACCTGTGAGACAGGAGGCAAAACAGACCAGTCCTGACTCCTGAGGACTTCAGCCAGCCTGCTTGGACCACCTCAGGGGACTCAAATGCACAACAAGAACACATGGCCGCCTCAGGTAGGCCATCTTAATAAAAATGCATTTTCCAGTCACCTAAAAGTAATCCCAAATAAGGAAAGTTGAGCAAAATCTCTTTGAAAACATGTATTTATTTACTTTTTTTTTTGCATTGCCTAAAGAATGACATATAATTCTATAGGCTGCATAAACCTATACTCAAGCAAAAGTAATTATTAACAAGGACCTTTTTTTTAAAAAAAAAAATTCTAACATATGGCCAGTTTATCTTAACAATAAAATCTAAATTCAACCAGCCATAACTTCTCTCAGTAAACTGGCTGAGAGATAAAGCATGTGGAATTTAACTGTACAGGAAGTCAACGATGAGAAAACCATTCTTACACCAATAGGTGTCGCTGCAGGAGAGTGGCTGCAGTTTGTACCGGAAGGAGGAAAGTCTTCGGGGAGGAACTGGAGTTAGGTTGGAGCCTGCCCACCCCCGCCACTGCGCGTACACACACACACACACACACACACACACACACACACACACACACACACACAGCTGCCTTTGAAGCATTCTGCCTCTCTAGGAGCAACAGTTACAGGGGACAGAGGCCACAAGGTACCCACAGATAATTTCACTCCCAAATGAACACAACTTTAAGCAGGACCTGATGTGTCCACAGCTCAGGGCTCTTGTGCAAATGAGTGACAGGTTTAAATATGACTGAGTGCTAAAAAGTGGTTCCCAGAGACGAAGCAGCCGCTCCATCAGTCACAGCCCACCTCCAAAAGGCTCCTCATCACCCTGAAAGGATGACATCAACTAATTTATCTTCCCTCCATGTATTGATCATAACCTTCATCAGCTAATCATGTTTAAATTACAGAGGAATATCGTGATACTCCGTCATTTCAAAGCCATTGGTGTATTGATCTGGGACTGTTGAAAGGGTATATTAGACTATCCTTAAAAAATCATTATGTGAACTCAAAAATAAAATCTAAGGTCAGTATCTAAGAACTACAAGGAGGTTCTGCCATTTCAAGACCCAAATTAATGCAAAGTCCTAACTGCCTGGGTGCTGTGGTTTCTATGTGAGGGTTACCCTCAGTCTCATTGGTTGGAACTTTGTTCCCAGCTGGTGGTGCTGTCTGGGGAGCTTCTGGTAATGTTAGGAGGTGGAGTCCTGTTAGAAGAAATCTGTCACTGTGGTAGCCTTGAAGATTTTGCAGCCTGGTCCCACTTCCTGTCCTCCCTCTTCCTGCTTCCTGTATGCTAATGCAATGGATCGGCCAGCTTCCTGACTGCCAGTCTACCTTCATGCTCCTGTCCCTATGCCTTCCCTGCTATGATGGGCCATATCCCCTCTGGAACTGTCAGTCAAAACAATTTTAACCCTACATTTTTTGAGGGAGGGGGGCAGGATTTCTGCCTTAGAAATGTAATATACCGTGTGACTAATCCTGTGCAAAAACAGGTTCCGCTGATCTACTTTTTGTTTTACTCCCAGTCTGAGTTCCCTTCTACCTGCAAAGACTTAACCACAGGACTTACATAAGAGGCATGAAACATGCTCAAACACATACTCTTGAGTGCTTTTTGGACACCTGCTATGAAGGTCTTCCACTCAAAGGGAAGGTTTAGGAAACTGAGTCAAGTATGTTATGGAAACTCTCGTTGTGTGAAACTTCAAATGCAGATTCCTGCCATTCCTCTTAGATGGACTGGGCAAATACTCAGGGATAAAGAGCAAAGCCACAATGGGGGGCACAGAGTGTGGGTGCACATCAAGTCTAACCCCCTGGGCCCCCACAGCAACTGCTCTTCCAATGTAATGACCAGAACACAGACCCCACAACATCTTACAACCGACTGCATTTATTTTTACTCCATTTTTTCATGTTTGACCTACTTGCTCATTATTCTTAAGACCTTCTAACTCCCATACACCAATAAAGGAAAGGAAATGATCTTAAAATGTTTTGTTCTAAGGCGCCAGGAGTACTTTGGTAAGATAGGATAAAACCTAAGAACAGGGGCAAATTTACTTAATGAAGGACAAGAGGATTCTGGGTAAGGATGAAGCAATCGAGAAAAGGGGGAAGGTGAAGATCTGCCCTATGCTGTAGAACTCTTGCTAACAGCCACATGTTTGCTAATGGCTGCTGCTGCTACATCCTGTGTTGTAGAACTCTTGCTAACAGCCACATGTTTGCTAATGGCTGCTGCTACCTGCTTTGTGTACCAGGGAGGAAACAGCATCCCTGGGTGCCTTGGTTAAAGACTTTCCTAAAAGTATACTAGATGAGTAAAAAGTATAGTGACAACTCTAGTCAGGAAGAGACCATGCTATTCACTACAGGATCACGTCCTCCACCACAGGACTGTGTGGAAATCTACACGTCCACAGGGTCCCTGACCCCACAAGCCAGTGTGTGGCCCTTGTCTATTACCACTCTAAGGCATCGGCCAGCATGTACAGTTGGCAGGCCCCGCCCCTTTAACTGTAATTACAGGTGATACTTGAATAAGTTGTGTACTGATAGGTTCAAAGATGAAACCCCAGACTCCACTGTTCGGGCAATCTCATCCCTTGTGTTAGCTAGTACCTTGGTCATTCAACAAATACACTGTTACATATCTTATATCAATGCACATATATAAAGGACTTGCTTAATGTGTGATGTATCAAACATACAAACACCTAAGCCCCAAAGAATTGTCTTTATGTTTTATTATTGAGATTTAATATTCTCTCACATTTTGTGGGATTCTAATGGGCTGTGTTCCATCTAGAAGTGTCACTTAGGAAGATACGATTACTGCCCTTTTACCACAGCGGCCACAAATTCCTCTCTTCTCCATGGTACTGCTTGGAGTCGCTTCCTCTACAATTCAGCTTTCTGTTTGGACTTGAGTAGCAGGCAAACACAAAACAAAACCCCTCCCTTTAGCCAGCCTTTCTGTCCTACCCATGGATTTAATTGCACAAGGCTCACACAGCAAGCAGACAAGCTCAGGCAGAGGAGTGATGTCAGAATGGCGCCACCTTATGGACGAGGTGGCTTAATGCCTGCGAGTGTGACAAACGTCTCCAGGATGGAAAGCTCTGTCCTAATCTGGGCTCATGTATGACAACCTTAAACTGAAACATATATCCATGCACATAACTCCATTCTTCAATCAGGAAAATTTACAGACCTTAATAACAAAAGCTGACACGCAAGAACTTACTTTCCCCATACCACTATACATTTTCTACTGAACAAGAAAGCTCTGCTCAACCCTGATCAAACAGTCCATATCTTCTGTGACATTACAGACCAGTCACACTAAAGCATTATTCACCTTGGTCCTACCAGGAGAGTGAGCCCTCTGCTCACAGCCATGTGACCACACACACCTAAATATTTTGCCCTGTACCTGCTGCCTGAAATGCTGAGCATGGTGGGAGATCTATAATCCCACTCCATCCTGGGATAAAGACCCCCCCCCCTCAGATAAAGAGGACGCTGAGAACTAGGTGTCAGGGCTCACTGGTCTAGCAGAACCTGAAAGACTGAGGCAGGAGGCCAGCCTGGACCACCTGAAGATAAAGTCAATCTCAAACAAACAAACTATATCCCAAACTATAACAAGTAAACAAAGCAACAAAACAAACCCCACACGGACCAGAGAGATGAGGACAGCCGCTCAGACAGTGCCTGGAGGGCTCAGGCAGGACCTCAGCCCAGCCTGCTGGGGAAACCCTTGCTCTATACCACTTCCTCCATTTCTAAGGGTACCACCATAACAGACTGCGGTGACTTAAATGAGAAAAATGTCCCTCATAGTCTCAGGCATTTGGATGCTTTGGCCCCCAGCTGGTGGCACTGCTTGGGGAAGCTCAGAGGGTGTGACCTTGCTGAAGTGTGTTTCTCAAGGCAGGCTTTGAGAGTTTAAGAGCCTTGTGCTGCTTCTGGTTCTCTTTCTGCGTTGTGCTTTCGTGTGAGCTCCCAGCTTGCTACTCTGGCCATCGTGTCGTCTACCTCCTTTGCATGATGGACACTTACTCCTCTGTACTGTAAACCCAAATAAACTCTTCGATGACTAATACAGTGACGTAAGGAAGGACGCTTGCCATCAGGAGGATGTCAACCATACAGAGGCATGGGCCCCTCTCTCCAGCAGCCTTCAGGCAAGTCTGTGTCCTTGGCCGAAGCCAGTTTCTGACCCCCACACCTTTGAGCTGGTCTGCCTCTGTGCCCTTGTGTCCCTGGTACTCAGGGTCCCTGGCAGCTGCCTGGAGGTCAGATCGCCTGTTCCTACATGACCCCTGGGCAATTTCTACTGCAGCTGACCATCCTATCCATTCTTTTCTTTTCTAGACCTCTAGAACATACCAGGTCCTTGGCCTCACCCTCTGCCTGGAACTCCTCAGGCTTCTTTGTTGCCTTCTCATAAGGAGCTTCCAAGGCTCTGGTCTTCAGCCCTGTCCAAGCTCC